ATTACAACTTATAGTTTCGTATACAAGTCGTTGGCCTAAACGTGAGTTCCAGGAGAGTCTACTAAAAGGTAATTTTAAAATTGACATTAATACGCTGATTCCAATAGATTGTTCAATTTCATACTTCGTAATGTTGCCGGGTTTGTTGACGTTATCTTGCACTGATTTTAAATTTGACTCATTAACTATTAACTCCAATAAGTCGTCATTAAATAAGAATTTAAAAAAGTTTATCTTCTTCTTTGGGTGCCGTCTTCAATGAAGGTTGGCGATAACCTCAGCAAAATCATTTCTGTCCCTGGCTTTTCTTATTAAAGATTGAGAATCCAAACCAGTCCACTCACGAATGTTCTTCAACCAGGACGCCTGCCGTCTACCAGGACCACGTTTTCCTTCTACCTTCCCCTCTATAAGAAGCTGTAGTAGCTGGTATTTCTCATTTCTGTATATGTGTCCCAAATATGAGGTTTTCCGTGTTTTCATTATTTTTAACAGTTCTCTGTCGGTACCCATCTTGTGTAGGACCTGCTCGTTGCTCATATGCGCTGTCCAGGGGACTTTCAGCATCCTTTCCAAACGCCTGAGTGAGTTGATTTTGAAAGTCCAGGCCTCCATTCCATATAGTAAGGTGCTGTAAACGTAACATTTCAGCATTCGGTATCGGATTTTGATATTGAGTGTTTGGGACGTAAACATTTGTTTCATTTTTAAAAAGACATTTCTTGCTTGTTCAATTCGCGATTTTATTTCTATGTCTGGATCTATATCTTTCGTTATCCAGCACCCTAGATATCGAAATTTCTCGACATTTTCGATAATGTTACCATTCACGTTTAAAGCCATGGGTGGATGGATGGATGTTTTGGAGACAATCATTGTTTTTGTTTTCTTGACGTTAATGCTGAGGCCGTATTGTTCTCTGATCGATCTGACGCGATCTAAGAGTGTCTAGAGATCCTGTGCGCTCTCTGCAATTAGGACCGTGTCGTCGGCGTATCGTACATTATTTAGAACTCTGCCGTTAATTTTAACACCTTCTCTTGATTGCTCTAGTGCTCGTGCAAAGATTTCTTCCAAATATATATTGAAAAGTAGTGGTGACAATACACACCCCTGTCGTACACCTCGCTTGATATTGAATATTTCTGTGTCACTGGCTTCTGTTCTAACTGTTGCAGTTTGGTTAAAACGCAGCGTTTGGATAATTTTAAAATCGTTCTCGTCTAGTTCCTTTTTGTGAAGGCAATCCATCAGCTTATCATGTTTTACTTTGTCGAAGGCCTTTTGATAGTCAATAAAACATAAAAAGAGATCCTTTTTTTGGTCCCGACATTTTTGCAGCATTATAATAAAACTGGTTAATGCTTCCCGTGTCCCAAATCCATTTCGGAAGCCAAATTGTTCATCACTGATATCCTGTTCACATTTCTTATAAATGCGTTGGTGAATAACTTTTAAGAATAACTTTAACATATGCGACAATAAACTAATAAGTCTGAAATCACCACACTTCTTTGCTCCCTTAGTTTTTGGAAGGGGAATAAAGACTGATTTTAATCAGTCTTGTGGAATTTCACCGCTTGTATATATTTGATTAAATAATTTGACGATTATATTTAAATGTTTCTCTTCCAGTAGCTTTATGACTTCCGTATGTATGTCATCTGGGCCAGGGGCTTTCCCATTTTTTGCGTTTTTGATTGCTCTCTCTACTTCTTGTTTTAATATAGGAGGACTGGTTTCATGGTTTTTATATATTATGTTGTTTAGTGGTGTGTCCGAGAATAGTTCTTCTATGTAATGTCCCCATACGTTGTTTAGATCGCTTAATTCCCATATCGTTTCATTCTCGTCGTTTGTTAATCTACAAGGGAGTCTTTGTTTTGTCATTCCAGCTAGATCTTTTATTTTTTTGTGAAGCGTTTGACTGTCGTGTTTCTTTATTAATTCTCGATCTCTTGGCAGTTTTCTATCATCCAATTTTCTTTTGCGGTAGCTATTCCTTTCTTGATTCGACGATGTATCTCCCTATATTTTTCATTATTTTTATTTTTGTAGGCTCTTCGAGTATCCATCATTCCCAGAATTTTTTGTGTCATCCAGGGTTTAGATTTTCTTTTGTTATTAGTGTCTTTTATATATTTCTCGGCGCTAGTAAAAGCATTCTTGACTTCAGTCCATAAGCCTTCTGTAGTTGGTGATAACTCTCTTTGGAGTCTTTCACATTCCTCGTTGAGTTTAGTCTTTACCATACTTTGTATATTTTCTTAATTAAGTAAATTGATGTCGGTTTTTCTTTTGACAGTCTTTTTTAGCATTTTGAACTTTATTTTTAATTTAGCCACTAGTAGGTTGTGATCCGATGGAACATCTGCGCCTGGGTATGTTCTTGTATCCGTTACTGCATTTTTATATCGCTGGTTTATAATAATGTAATCAATTTAATTTCGGACACAATTGTTGTTATTATCTGCGGGTGATTTCCATGTATATAGCCTCCGTAGTGGTAGCTTGAACCAGGTGTTCATGATAGTTAGTTGTTTCTCCTGGCAAAATTGTAGTAGTCTGTCACCTCTATCATTGCGATTGCCCAGTCCGTAATTTCCACAAATATGTTCCACTTTTCCACAAACCACTTTTTCATTAAAATCTCCTACGATTAATCTTGTTTCATAACTTGAAGTATGTTTATGTTTACGGGGTTACTCTGTAATTTCAAAAGAAGCATTCGATCAGAATAGGGTATGAAATCAATTACTGCTTTTTTTATCTGCTCTGTTACTATAAGGCCTACACCATTCCAGTGTCTCTGCTGTTCGTTCCTCGAGTAGTATATTGTGTAGTCATCGATGGATACATTTCCAGAACTAAACCATCTCATCTCACTTATACCTAGTATGTCCACTCCAAGTCTTTTCATTTCACGGATGGTATTTTGAACTTTACCGGGTTCAAACATACTTTGTACGTTCCAAGTGCCTATTCGTACCAAGGATTGGTTTATAGGACTCTCCAATATCTGCATGCATTCTGGCCATTCAGATTCTCTCAAGAAAGCATAATCATTTTCATAATAACTCTTTAATTATGATTCCTTCTTTAATATTTTCTCGTTTTTGATTTTAGATGTAGATATTGATTTATTTTGGTTTGCTGGTTTGAATCCTATTGAGGTAGTTGCCCTTACATCGTCAACTTCTGACTCGGCATCAGATGTCTCTATGTCATAATAATCAGTTTCAGATACTACTACGGACTTGTAAAGACGTTGTTTTGTAGACGAAGAAGGCAAATATTCTTCGTCTGAATCAGTATATTCATCGTCGCTTAACCCTCCATCACTGGGAATAGGGTTCACATATTTAGAACTGCGATAAAATCTTTGAGGATCCATTTCTGAAAACAAATAATATCTACATAAATAAATTACTCTTCAAATGCATACAAAGTCATATATGGCTTCGACAAAATCTGTATATTTTTTACGATAATGCATAAGATGCTATATATGGATGATCACTAAATGTCGTTTTCTCTGACAAACCCAAGTAATTAATCACTAAATATCATCTTATAAAAAACTTATAAAGAACAAACACCAATTAGCCATGAAATAATAAAAAAAATTAATTACTTACTTGTAAAACGCAGATGTTTGAAGGTAAGTTTTTCATTTGTTCTAAAAAATCGCAATGTACAGCACGTTGTAACTAAAATGATTGGGTTGACTTGTCTAGCAGAGTTGCCAGATTTTAAAAATATATAGAGGTTTCCAAACAAATGTACGGTTCACGTTATGCTATGCATGCGTATATGCTGAACTTTAAACTTCTTCTTCTTCTAGTTCCATGACCGTTATCGATCGTTGGATATCATGTTGGCTACCATATTCGCTATCGTGACTTTATTGACAGCAGCTCTAAATAACGATGTAGTTGATTTTCCATACCATTGCCTTAGATTTTTCATCCATGATGTTCTTCTTCTACCAGGACCACGATTACCTTGGATCTTTCCCTGAATGATCAGATGTAAAAGATCATATTTTTCAGGGTGTCTCATAATATGACCGAAGTATTCCAGTTTGCGTTTCTTTATTATATTGACCAGTTGTGTTGTTTGGTTCAGCCGTCTAAGGACCTCCTCTTTCTAACTCTGTCGACCCAGCTTATTTTCAGTAGTCGTCTGTATACCCACATCTCAAAGGCTGTCAAGCGTTTAAGCATAGCCTCAGTTAGGGTCCACGCTTCTACTCCATACAGCAGGACAGGAAAGATGTAGCAAGATATCATACGAACTCTAAGGTCAATGCTAAGATCATGACTGCAAAGTACGTTTCTCATTTTTAAAAAGGCAGCTCGGGCTTGTTCTATTCGGCTTTTAATTTCTGCGGTTGGATCCCAGCTCTCATTGATATTACTGCCGAGATACACGAGTTTCTCTACTCTGTCCAGTGTGGCATCTCCGACTTTTATACCGTCATCATGTATATAATTTTGTTTGCTAACTATCATATATTTAGTTTTCTTAACGTTGAGTTTTAATCCATACTGATCACAAGTCTCTTTTATTTTGTTCATTAGATTTTGAAGGTCTTCTCCGCAATTGGCAAGGACTAAGGTATCGTCGGCATATCTAATATTGTTGACGGTTACTCCATTCACAATAATACCTTCGGTTGTCTCCATTAAGGCTTCCTTAAATATTTCCTCCGAATATAAGTTAAAAAGTAAAGGCGACAATATACAGCCTTGTCTCACTCCTCTTTTTATATTTATTTCATCCGACAGTTCTTGTTCAACCTTTATTCTTGCCACTTGATGCCAGTATAGATTTGTAATTATTCGTAGATCTTTATCGTCCAATCCAGCTTAAGTAACTTTAAACTTACAAAAAAAAAAAGTAAACTACGGAATCCATATATGGATTTCCATGCGATAGAGGGTTAAAGTACATAATCAATAGGCTATTATACTAAAATTTGTAAGTTAAAGACTTACCTCTGGATTTGATAACCAATCATTCATAGCGTACATGAGGTATATGGGAGTTCTGATACTAGTTATGTTATACAACGGAGGAGTTTTGGTACCATATTCAATCATATTACCCACCTCGCCGTAATCGTATTTTTGAAAGTTACCATTGTTTCTTATTTCTTGGGCATAATGAATAATAGTTTTGGTAGAAGCTCCAGCTGGGTCTTTTGCTAATAGTATGGGAAGAATTTTCTAAAATTATATATGTTAATAAATATAGATAAAATGTATAGTTTCAATTTGATATAAAACTTAATATTTACTTAATATTAGTATAAAACTAACATTTAAAATTGTATTTAATAGAACGAACAATTTTAATTAAAAGTATCTTTGTTATATGTATAGATACGTTTATGTAGATACTATATGTCCATATGTTGCAAAAGAAGAAATATTGTACGTATTAAAAATAATGAAGAGTAGGAAAAGCCCTGGACTTGACAAGCTTTCTATAGAAATCCTAAAAATTCTAGTTGACTTACGGTTCAGGATTATTACCCAAAGAGTGATTAACGTCGATATTTATTTGTCTTCTCAAAAAAAGAAACGCAAGACAATGCAGCGATTACAGCACCATTAGTTTGATGTTTCATGTGCTAAAGTTACTACTAAAAGTCATCCATAACAGAATATATCATAAACTGGACATACAGTGGGTGATCAAATTATTATGATCAGTCACAAAAGTTTAAGTTTTTCAAATTTGTTCAAAAATTTTAAAATAAAATCATATGCTGCTATATGATAAAGGCATGCTAATATATTTTGTCACTAATAACCTTACTTTTTTGACGTTTACAGCTCTAGAACTGTCATTTGTGTCAAATTACGTGACAACATACACATTGTGGTGAATTTGCGATTGGAATTTACAACTGAATTTGTATGTTTTTGTATTGTTTTTGAAAGATTAGTATCGTTTTATCTTTGTAGTATGTTTTATTAATGTATTAGTGGTGATTGTAAATGAAAAAAAAAACTATCAGACATAAAGACATTTTCAAAACATTTCGATTTTTGAGAAGGAAATCATAATGGATAAGGTTAAAGACGTCCCTGTGTCTAAAATGGTGGTGATAAAGACACTTTTATTCAATACAAAGCTTTTCCAATGTCAGATAGCTCAACAATGCCAAGTAGCACAAGCAACAGTGAGCAACATCAAGAAAAAAATTGATACTAACAAACCCCTGACTCACCAGCGTTCTCAAAAATGTGGTCCCTATACCCAGAGATGAAAGAAAAATGAGGGATATCTTCATAAACAATAGAAGGAGGCCAAGAAGAATCCTCACGGGACTTATTCGTGAAGCTGGGATGCCAGTTTCTGACATGAAAGTCCGCAGAAGGCTTGCTGAGCAAGGTTTCAAATCATGTCGCCCTGCCAAAAAACCAAAGTTAGCCATCACAATGATGAAAAACAAACTGGAATGGGCCAAAGAACACCACAATTGGACAATTGAGGATTGGAATATGGTAAATTACGTCACTACTAAAGTTTAAATGACTATAACCACTGTTTTTATCCTAAAAACCATCTTATAATGTTTTTATTCACAGGTTTGTTTGTCCAATGAGTCTACAGTGGAGATAATCATGGATAAGTCTGCCTTCGTCTTAAGGTGAGTGGGTGAAAAATATCACAAGGATTGCATAGTGGAGCAAGTAAAACATCTTCTCAAGATCATGGTATGGTCTGTGATCATCGGTAAGGGCACAGGGAGACTGTACAGTGTGAATGGAATGATGAATCAACATCAGTATATTGAAGTTCTAGAAAGAAAGCTCATGCCACAAATCAAAAACTGGTTTAAAGAATCGGAGGATTTTACCTTTATGCATGATTTTTCACCGTGCCATAAGGCAAAAATAGTAACATCGTAATAGGAAAAAAAAGAAAATTAAAGTACTGAAGTAGCCAGGTAATTCTCCAGACCTTAATCCGATCGAAAATCTATGGAATAGAATCTACTGTCACAAATAAGCAACAGTTAATTGAGAGACTCATTGCCACCTTGCACAGAAACGATAAAATAAAAGAAGACTGCCTGAGAAATATTAAAAGCATGCTAAGAAGGATCAAAGCTGTCATCAAATCTAAAGGAGGTCACACAAAATATTTAACAAAATTGTTCTTCTTCTTCTTCAGGTGCCATCTCCGCTACGGAGGTTGGCAATCATCATAGCTATCTTAATTTTTGAGGCAGTAGCTCTAAATAGTTGTTTTGAGCTGCATCCAAACCATTCTCTCAGGTTCTTCAGCCATGAAATTCGTCTTCTTCCGATGCTTCTTCTGCCATCTATTTTTCCTTGCATTATGAGTCGCAGGATGCCATACTTATCGCCACGCATCACATGTCCGAGATACTGTAGCTTTCTTTCTTTAATTGTAAGTTCAATTTCCTTCTCTTTGCCTATTCTTCTCAGTATTTCATTGTTTGTAACTCTATCTACCCAGGAAACCCTCACAATTCTTCTATAGGTCCACATCTCAAAGGCGTTAAGTCGTCTCATGGTATCTAGATTTAACGTCCATGATTCCACTCCATAATATAGTACACTGTATACGTAACATTTTGTTAGGCGTAGTTTAAGAGCTAATGTTAGATCTTTGCCACATAGGACCTTTTTCATTTTTATAAAATTAGTTATTTAAGATCAAAAATAAATATATTTTAAAATTTTGTGAAAGAATGTATTTAGAATCTATTTTTATAATATATTCACATTATTAGACACTTATATGCAGTTTTATTCTTTATTAAACAGCAAAATACAAAGTTTTTTGAAGTGATCATAATAATTTGATCACCCTCTGTAGACGTTAATGATATACAATTTGGTTTTCGCAAAGGCGTAGGAACTCGTGAAGCTCTTTTTTTCACTCAACGTTTTCACTTAAATGGCCAAAGTATCGAAAACGAAACATTTCTTTAATTATTTTTTTTTCTACGATTTTTATATGATGAATATTATAGTTTATGTACCGGTCTATTATATAAATAGTTTATTGACGTGTTTGTTATCTTAATGGTCCATATTATGTTGTATAATTTTTGAAATAATAATCAAAACACTACAAATTTACTAGTATAAATATGTCGTTGTCGTTTGAGATCGCATAACAAATCTCAAGATATTTAAAATTAGATCAAACCAGCATTCCTTGTTCAATTAGAGATTGAAGAATAATATTATCCAAACATAATTTGAAATATGACTCCTCAGTATTATGTATTTATATAAAGATAATGTTTCGTTTATGAAACTTTGGCGCGATCGGTTAATTTATTATCCATATTGGATAGTCTACTAATAATAGAAAATTTTTCAGTTTTAGCTATTAGTTCCAACTGTGTAGTGGTTTCTTTGGTAAAATAATAGTAAGTCTACTCGTTAGTAGCTATTTTTTACAATTTTGCAGGATTTTTACCGCAAATCAAGATGTCCAGAGGGTATGTAAAATATTTTATTAGTGTTTTGTAAATCCCATATACATATCCCATATAAATATTATTACCAGTTAATATTCCACATACATAATCCCATATACATATTATTCTCAGATATGTACGATAATACATTTACATATACGTATTCTAAAACGATCTTTTACTTTTAGACTGTCCGAATATGAAATGAAGAGACGTCTTTCAGTGAAAGAACTGCAAGCTATACTGGAGGATGATTCTGATTAAGAAGAAGCGAATGAGATAGATGCAGTTTATATACCTCCTTTAGTTGATGTGTTAACAGATGAAGAGGATTTGCATGATAATCTTCTTACAGAGGAAGGAGTTTTGACTGATATCGGTGGAACATTCGAGATCCATACAAGGTCTCGAAATGAGGCTAATGCCTGGTTGCACCAACATATCTTAAGCTTAAGACGTGCCTTAGGTAGGCCTCAGCTCAGGCTGATCGACCGACCACGACCAAACCGTCTGACGGCGATCAACCAAATTTTGTATTTTTATTTTTAAGAATATAAAGAATATTTTAGAATCGAAAATTATGGTGCGACGTAAGTGAGAGTTAAGGCAGCCCTAGCTATAAGCAGAGCTTGGCTAAGATGGAGCTTAAGATCTATTGGTGCAGCCAGGCATAAGACGCCCACATAAAATCTGATTATTTAAATGCTTGGTCGTTAATGGGTTAATATACTGATACAAAGATGCTTGGACAACAATTAAAATATATACGCATGTTTTATTGACTATAATAAAGCATTCGATAAAGTACGACATGAACAATTAATGAAATCAATAATGAATAATGTCCTAAAATCAAAAAGATTGATTACAACGACCTCAGGATCATATGAAATTTATACTATAAACAGCGAGGAAAAGTACGTGTTAACGAACAGCTGTAAGAAACATTGAAAAATTACACGTGGAGTGGGACAGGGATGCACATTGTCGCCAATTTTTTTAATGCCTACTCCGAAGAGATCCTGAAAAACGTTCTTGAGGGTAAAGCAGCTGGAATAAAGGTAAATGGAGTTCCCATTAACAACATTAGATATGCGGACGACACTGTGATCTTAGCCGAAAATATTGAAGATCTTCAGAGACTGGTGACCAGAATAGCGGAGTATGGAAAAGAGTATGGTCTAACAATGAACTTTAAGAAGACGAAATTTATGAGAATATCAAAAACTCAAAAAAATAATGAGAATCTTCTAATAAACGGAACCAAGTTGAACATGTGGACAAATATGCATATCTGGGAACAATGATTATTGCATATCTATGAACAAATCAGAATAGAAAAGGTTAGAGCAAATTTCAACAAAATAAGGAGAGTGCTATGTACAAGGGATTTAAAACTGAAACTAAGAGTTAGATTGGCAAGGTGCTATGTTTTTTCGACTTTGCTTTATGAAATGGAATCTTGGACTTTGAATGCGACATCAATGAAAAAACTGGAATCATTCGTGCTGTGGGTGTATAGAAGAATTCTGAAAATATCGTGGACAGAACACTTCACAAACAAAGAGGTTTGAAGAAGGATGAATAAAGAAATAGAAATTTAAATACAATTAAAACAAGAAAATTTGGAATATCTTGGACATATTACACGTGGAGAGAAATGCACCTTGCTCCAGCTAATTATGCAGGGAAAGATTCAAGGAAAGAGAAGCAAAGGGAGGAGTAGAATGTCATGGCTGATCAACCTGAGATAGTGGTACGGATGTACATTAAATGAACTTTACAGAGCAGCCGTCACAAAAGTCCAAATAGCTATGATGATTGCAACTAAAACAGATTTCTAGTGACATTTCTAATTTAAATATTATGTGTATATGGGATTAAGCCACAATCGATTGTAACTAAAATTACATTTTTAATTGCAAAAATTAAAAATATGTTTTTAATTACACTTAATTGTGAATTAATTTCACAATTGTAAAATTTGGCGTTTAATTTTTACCTAAATTGTTCTCAAAATACAAATTAAAGATATTTAATAGTTTTATTTTGAATAACCCCTATTTAAAATTAACATTTATTTTGCATTATACATTCAACCCTAGGGTCTATAGACTGTCTCAAAGTGACTAGTTTGTACAGGGTAAATGCACAACATCGATGCCATACTTCTTTGCAAACTTGTATTAAAATAAACGTCACTTCTTACTACTTAGCCTAATCCATCTTTTCTGTTGAGAATAGCTTAAGTACTTATGCCCACTGACGACCCTGCCTGGCTTCCTTCTGTCAGTGGTTCTCAAACATAAATAATATTTTCTACAACATACTTGGATTAAATTAAAATAAAATAGAAATTAAGAAATGCCTTTTATTTATGTCACACAAGCAGTTTGTTTTTAATTCTACAGTATGTGCTAGCGATACAAACCATTTGTTTATACATTTAAATAAAATCAAATAAAATAAAACTAAAATATAAAGAAACATTTTATTTTTGTATTGTTTCGTTCAAAAGTTAAGGGATGAAGCACTTTTAAAAACCGCACTGTATATGTTGGCAGTAACAAAACGTAGAAATATCCGAAAACAAAACTAATAAATAAGTTGAATACAAAAGAAGTCATTGTATTTAATTTCGTGTATAAGGAATCGTAATTGTACACCATTATATTTGGTTTCTGTTTCTGCCAATCGATGTCACATTTAGTTTCTGCTAAACTATCATCATCATCAATATTATCGTCACTGTCATCACTATATCCCTTATTTATATTTATAATAATCGGTTCGATATCAGCCAACAAATTATCAAATTCCCACATTTTTTTCTGTTGCTATTCCGTGGTTTACGTAGTTTTTACATTTCTCTGGCGTAATGACCTGGTACAATGCTGTAATTAAATTTCGCATTTCAGCTTCTTTAAAATTCGCGTTGCGTCCAGCTATATACCGTTTCACTTCACCACAATCCATTTTCATTGGATTCAGTTCACAGTGATAGGGTGGGAGCCTCAGAATCTTCACATTGTGCTTTTTGGCAATATCTTCTATTATGTACCTGTCATATTTTGCTTTGAAAGCCTTGACTACATCAAGTAACTCGCATTTTAGGTAGTCTTCTTCAAAAAATGGGTCCTTTGACAGAAGCCATTTTTGAATATCTTTTTTTAGTGTTGAACTGTTGGGAATTAGTTCTGACTTTCTGCTGTGATAGGAGGCATTGTCCATTACCACAACAGTTTTTCTGACAAATTTAGCATTAAGTTATTTTCGAAGCAATCTTTGAAGGTCGGTCCATCCATTTCGTCGCGGTAGTCCTGAGTATTTTTCTTTGCCAAAAAAGTAAGCTGTGCTCCATCAACAAATCCACTGGTAGATCTTGCGTGCAATAAAACGAACCGTGCACCACGAGCTGTTGGAGCTGTTAATCCTGTTGTCAGACCACGAACAAAAGCATCGCGATGAGATGTAATTGTTTTTTCAACCCATTCTTTTTTCACACTATGCCCGATATTTACCCATAATTCATCCAAACAAACTATGTTGTATCCTTCTGCACGGTATTTACGAATTGCGAATTGCGATTTACGAATTGCGCGTAAATAACGATGACGCCCCGAGATGATTTCTGGTTTTTTAATCAAAATTGAATTTCTGCCACGTTTTAAAAACACAAAAGTTTCTTCTATATTTACAACAGCTAATATGGTGTTTATTGTTGGTGGTATGTTGTCACGAAAAATTAATAACTATTCTACAAATTTGGCCCCTGACACCTTCATCGTACTTGTTGTAGCTGCTTAGTATCTGCTTCTCTGAAAGTTTTAGAGCTTTTCCACGTTTCCATTAAACAATTTTGAGGTAAAAATTCGGCGTTAAATATAACAATAGCCAAAAACAGAAAATAACAATAATTGCTAACAGCAAATCACAACAACAGCCACCAACAAATAATAACAATAACAAAACAGTAACAGTACATCCAAGATGGTACAAATAATCGTAACTCGAATATGTTTACGAGCTCCGAAGAACAAATAAAAACTAATTAAGGCCCTAAATGTATCAAGCTTTTAAACATATTCTGTACAAGTATTACTCTAATTGCTTCTTAATTACTGAATAACTTATTAGATTATTTGAAGAACTTTGAAACAAATGTTTATTTAATGCACATTTTATTATACTACTTACTACTGCTACTAATAAAAGATAAAAGTTGATAAGTTACTATTAGAAACAAATAATGTATCGTATTAGGTAAAATTATTAGCAAACGATATTTGAAACGTCAATAAACGTATTTTTATCTTTAATTGTGGCTTATTCCCAGTTAAATAGTAATTAATTTAAAATGCCACAAGAAAATAGCTTCAGAACAATATTAAGAAAACGATATTTGTAAATTACGAAAAATTGTACGTTAGGACTTGTTGAGAACTCCTGGTTTATTCCATTTATTTTGAAAGATAGACAATAGAGAACGCTATCGCCCACTGCATAAAACTGGCAACGTCTTGGCGAAATTCCCATAAGGTTAGCATTGCATATCTCACCCTGTTCAGACTAATCACTTTGAGACAAAGTATAATATGATATTGTGAGTATTTATAGTGTGTGGGACGACTTTATTGTAGAGTTATGTATTTTAATTACATGAAACCAACTTTTATTTTAAAAAACCTGTAAGATGTGATTGGTCTTCAAAAAAATAAACAGATTGAGTTACGATATTAAAATGTTTCTGTTAATCTTCTTCTTTTGGTGCCTATTTATTTGGAATATTGGCGATCATTCTAGCTATAATTATTTTATTAACTGATGCTGTAAGTAGATTAGTTGTTGTTGTGGAGAACCATTTCCTCAGGTTTTTTAACCATGACATTTCTCTTCTCCCAATTCCTCGCTTTCCGAATACTTTGCCTTAAAGTATTATTTTTAGTAATCTGTATTTAGCGCCGTTTCTCATTTTATGTCCTAGATATTCTAATTTTTTCCTTTTAATGGTATATATCACCTCTCTTTCTGTCCCGATTCTTCGTAGTACAGTCTCCTTTGTTATCTTGTCCGTCCATGATATCTTCAGGATTCTTCTGTATAGCCACATACCGAAGGCTTCAAGTTTTTTCTCCATCCCTTCAGTGAGTGTCCAGGATTCAACTCCGTAGTATAATATCGATAAGATATAACACCGTAGGAGCCTTACTTTTATCGCCAGATTAAGGTTGTGGCTTTTAAAGAGTGTGACCATGTTGTTGAATGCACTCCTAGCCTTCTCCATTCTACATTTTATTTCTTGTGAGTGATCCCATTGGTCGTTTACCATTTTTAAACGTTTTCTATAATCTATAGTTACTCAATTTTGTTCCGTCGCTAATAACCTTTTGGTGGATACGACTTTTCGGATATGGTGGATACGTTCTCTAATAAAAAAAATATTGCTAAAGTTTGATTTGATTTTAAACAATATGAACTTACCGTGTTAAATTCTTCCTTATTAAATCCACATATAGCAAAAATAAGATTTTCGCACATTTTCGAATCGATTTTAAATAGTTCGCATTGAAAGCTAAGAGCACGCATCAGTTTGTTATTTGGTAAAAATTGATTAAATCCCAAGTATTTTCGTAACCACTGAAACAAATAATAAATTTTAAAAATATATGTGCAAATTATAATACTTCTCAAAGAAGCCTTCTCAAATTTAAAATAAAAAAATAATCCAAATAGCCTGTCCTTAGTCTATGTCCTTATTGGGACATATGTAGACTAAGGACAGGTTATTTGGACCAAAATATGGCTATTGGGCCAAATATGCCTTAATAAAATGTTGCTGAGAAAAAAGATACAGGGTTCTAAAGTTAATTTTTGTTTTTCGTTTTTTGCTAATAGTTTCTCTGTATATTTATAAATTGCTATCAAAATTGGCACAGAGGCATAATCTTAGACAAGAAATAGTATTCTATTTACAATTTCACGTTTTGTTATAGAGGGAGGCACGTGGTTCATTCCTAACGATCAAATTGAGTCTAAACTTTTTCTGATAAAACTTTTTAGTAATTTTTATTAGAAAATATGACGTAAACATCATTTTTACGTAAAATTGGTACTCTTGTTTAAACATTATCATTTCAACCGTTTTCGATAAAAACGCAGTCGAACTGCTTAGAGTCTTAAAAAAGGATTTCAAATATTATTTCATTTATAAAAAGTATGCTTTGGACTGTCAGATAATTGTTGTTGGTAAATGTCATTTGTTTAGAGTAAATTATTTTTGATGTGACAGTGTAGTGTAATGTTGCATTTTTTAAAAGTAATCATTACTTTTTTTATTGAAATGCCTCGTCACAATCATTTTACTAATGAAGAAATGCGAGATATGATTTGCGTATACGCACAAGAAAATTTTTGCGGTCGCTCGGCAACCAGAAGGTGTGGAATATTATACCACAGAAGGCAACCAAATCACAAAAGAGATTATATCGTAGTTTTGCTGAAACTGGGTAATTTCACACTAAAAATCGGGGTGTTCTACCGAAACAAATCACACCTAATCAAGAATATGAACTTTTGGTTCAGGTAGATGAAAATCCTGAAATAAGTTCACGACATCTATCAGCAGCAACAGGAGTAAGTCAGTCGTCTATTGTTAGAATTCTAAAAAAGAGAGCCTCCAACCTTATCACTTCACTCCTGTTCAAAATTTACTTCCATCAGATCTTCCACGACGGTTACAGTTTTGCCAATGTATTCTGAATAAACATCGCGATAACAGATACTTTATTAAGAATATTATGTTCACCGACGAAGCAACTTTTACCAGACGATGGATTTTTAATTGGCGAAATAGTCATTATTGGCGCAAGCTATTAAAGCTAGACATTTTCAGCATGATTTTAAATTGAATATTTGGTGTGGCATTATAGGCGACCAACTACTAGGGCTTTATGTTCTTCCTTCGAATTTAAATGGAGATTCTTATTTATTCTTTTTGGAAAATACTCTTAGTGATATTTTAGATGATCTGTCACTTAATGTAAGAAAAAAACGTGGTTTATGCACGATGGAGCGCCACCTCATTTTTCATTAGCTGTTAGAAATCATCTTAATGACGTATTTCCTCAACGATGGATTGGCAGAGGCAGTGATTTTCAATGGCCACCAAGAAGTCCTGAGGACCACTCGCTAGATTTTTATTTTTGGGGATATACGAAGTCCTTAGTTTATGCCAATGAAATTAATACACGAGATGAACGTTGGAGATACATTCAAAATGCAGCCAATCTTATAAGGGGACAGAATAATATTTTTTTAACGTCCGAAAATCCTTTATAAAAAGAATTGGAAAATGCATAGAAATCGGATGAGACCATGTAGAACATTTAGTTTGAGTTTTTGTGAGTTCTTTTAAGTTAAAGTGTGTTTAGTTTTGATTTATCGTCAAAACGGAAACCTTACGTTAGTTGCAACTTTGTTCATTAGGTTGGTATGTGATAGTGGAATTGTAAATAAAATACTATTTTTTGTCTAAGATTATGTCTCTGTGCCAATTTTGATAGCAATTTATAAATATACAGGGAAACTATTAGCACAAAACGAAAAACAAAAATTAACTGTAACACCCTGTATCTTTTTTCTCAGCAACATTTTATTAAGACATATTTGACCCAATAGCCATATTTTGGTCCAAATAACCTGTCCTTAGTCTATGTCCCAATAGTTACGACTCACCCTGTATATCAAGAGATGAGAAAGAAAGATAAGAGAGATGCATCAAATCTTTTTGACTAGAATGAATAGGACATATTATACAGAGACGCCCATACTCAGATATCTTCAGAATTACGTAGCCACGAGTTCCTGCACATGTATATCTCTCGTACATTTATTTAACTTATGAGAAATTCATTTCCAGTGTAAAAAATATATCAAAGGAACATGTAGAGCATATGTCCAGACCGTTCATGGCTACTTAAAATTTAAAAGAAATATTACAACCAGACCATCACGTTAATTTGAAAAGAACCAATGAGATATAACGTAATAATGGTAGATCTGACAGAGACACACTAGGTAGACAAGGATGTTTTCATTACAGTGATTACACTATGCTTAGTGTGAAATTGTCTGTATCTCATTAGACGCGTCCTTTAAGTGGTGGATAAGGGAACGGCCTAACCAACCCTAGGACCAGCGGAAATAAAATATCACCCGTCAACCAAAACCGACTAAGGTATCGCAACCCTAATAGAAGAGTCCCTGGCGTTCTGGGTTGGGGGTTGAGCTGATGGCCAACAACTTCTTCCTGTAAAAAAAGATATGTTACGGAAACTCAGGAACTATTAGCTAAACGAAACTTTTGACGACAACTCTGAAAATGAAAATGGAATTGACATTCATCATTTTGGCTTTACAACCCTGTTTGGGTCCTAGCCTCCTCAAGAATATTTTTTCCAGTCGTCCCTATCCATCGCCTTTCTTCATATCTATTCATCTATTTCTTCAGCCTATATTCATATCTTGATCTGTGTCATCTAGGAATCTTGTTCTGGGTCTTCCTCTCCTTCTTTGACCAATAGGCTTTTTCTTAGTGTAATAAAATATATTTTGTTAATAATTCCAAATTATTCCCACTTATGAATCTCGTAATGTCTTTTGGTAGGAATGGTTGGTAGAATTAGCATTTTCTTATTAAAATAGGGCCCGTTTTGATGCTGTCAATTGACGACATTGTGACTAACTGTAATATTTACTCAAACAAAGTTAAAATTCTTGTGTCGTCAATTGACGACACCGTGACTGAAAGGGCTAACATGTTTTCATTGCTTTTTGTTAAAGTCCAGGTTTCTGAACCATATGTTAGGACTGGGCGTATTATTGTTTTGTAGAGTTTTACTTTTGTATTTCTTGATATAACTGTAGATTTAAAAAGGAGATTAAGGCCAAAATAGCATCTATTAGACGTGCAAATTCTGCGGTTTATCTCTGCGGTAGTGTCGTTTTCAGTATTGAGGAGCGTTCCCAGGTATACAAATTCGTTAACTGCTTCGATGGCGTCGTTTTCTATAACAAGTGGCCGTAGTATTTGTGGTTGCGTACCTATTTTCATGTTTCGTTATATTGGTGTTTATTATTAAACCCATTTTTGTAGCCGCTTGCTTTAGTGCTACGTACGCCTCTCGTGCTGCGTTTTCCGTTCTCCCAAAAATATTGATATCATCAGCATATGCTAGGATTTGCACAGATTTGTTATATATTGAACCGGTAGTTGTGATTTGTGACGTACGTATTACTTTTTCCAGAGCTAGATTGAATACAGGGAAGTATACAGGGAAGTGGGTCTCCCTGACGTAGCTCGTTAATTGTTTTAAAAGACTTAGAGAGTTCCCTCTGGATTCGTACTCTGCATTCAACTTTTTTAAAGGTTAGTTTGGTTAGACTTATCAACTGATTTGGTACTCCTAGGTCTATCATTGCTCTAAACAATTCTCTTCTATTTACAGAGTCTGCCTTGTAGTCTGTAAATATGTGGTGCGTGTCTACACCGTATTCCAGTGTTTTCTCTATAATTTTTCCTAGAGTTGAAATCTGATGAATTGTTGATTTACCACCTCTGAAACCAGCCTGGTATTGTCCTATTATTTGCTCTGCATATGTTGCCATACGATGGCATATTATATTGGAGAATATTTTATACGCTGCATTTAGGAGCATAATTCCTCGATGGTTAGAGCATTCAAAGATATCTCCCTTATTGTGTATGATGCAAAGTATTCCAATATTCCAATCACTGGCAAGGGACTTCTGTATCCATATTTCTTTTATAAGCTGCTGTAGAGCTATTATGATATCGTGACCACCTTCTTTATATAATTCCGCTGGGAGATGGAATTAACATTAGGAACATGGAAAACCCGTAACCTGTACCAAGCTGGAGCACTCACATTTTTACTAGACATTGTGAACAAGTACAAAGTAGATGTTTTAGCATTGCAGAAAATGCGATGGGCGGGAACTGACACTCTTGACAAGAAAGTCCATTTCAATTATTACAGTTGCAATGAAAATCAACGTATAGATGGGGTGGGATTTTACATAAATCAAAGAATAAAAGACCTTATATTATTGACTTTATTGCGTATAGTCAAATATTGTGATATTTTCGTTTAAAAGGAAAATTCTTTAATTTCAGTTTAATCACTACACATGTGTGTAGGAGGTATAGGTAGTCTGGTACTTGTTTATCTACGGGTGCTGGTAGGGGTGTTTTCTATGGGTTTGCTGCTGAATAATTTGGATATAGAGAAAATGGCTCCAAGTCCATCGATTGCCAAACGGCACGGCATCGATGTCGTGTGGCGATCGATGAATGTCACTGCATTCACGGCTGCTGTGGTCGTTGCCGTCGTTCCAAAGTGTATAGTACCAAATGAACGCGCTCATCGCTTTCTTTCGAACACTTCGATCTTTATCGACCGATCAGAGGACTAGTTGCGTTTTTTTTTGACACTGCTCTAGGTACGTCGCTCCGTGTTGCTACGTGGTTCTGTGTTGCTCATTATGATTTTGTGTACTCCACCTAACAAATCTTTGTGGATTAAAAAACGTCATCGAATAAATATCGTGTAGTGTGCGTGCAAAGCATCATCGAAGAAAGTTCGATCGAACTTTTATTGACTGTCCAAATTCGATGTGTATGCGCCTAGCCTAAGTGGTACTTTACTTACCTCTAGATCATTCGAAAGTGGTGCAAAATATCGAATTGGGGATGTTATGTGTGTCATATAAGCAGCGGATCCCATTCCAACCATTACTTTAACATTTTTGGCTACTCGTACATTTTCCGATGCGAATACATAGAACATAGTAGTTCCCATCGAATGACCAACATAAATGAGTTCACCAGGTTTCTTTGTAACTCTGGTAATATAAGTGATAACTGATGGTAAATCTTTGGTTCCCATTTCATGAAAGCTAAAAAATAAAAATGTCTAATTTAATACTAGTAAAGAGTTCTCCACTTATGTTTATACGCAATTCAAACTAATATTTATATATTAAATATTTACCTATTAAAACGAATTTATTGCTTTTAACAAACAAGAAAACTGGTAAATTAGAATTAATTTAACAAATCTTACAAATTTAAAAGAATTTATAATTACCTGAAATTCCAAAAAGCTGAGTGATCGTTTGGTAAAGATATATGTGATCTCGAGTAAACATTTCCTCTTGCATTTCCTAACCAAACATCATAACCTTTGTCTGCTAATAAAAATGCTAAAAATACAACAATTTATTTTATTATTATTGAGTTAATGCCTCGACAACTAAGATCATTGGCATGGTACAGTCAGGTACCTAGTGTAGTGTGTGTGTGTGTGTGTGTGTGTGTGTGTGTGTGTGTGTGTGTGTGTGTGTGTGTGTGTGTGTAGAGTAATTGTCTTGATACTTAGCAAAGTCGACGTCATTGTCTTTGCTAAGAGACGCTAATTGTATCCGAACGTCTGCGGTCCCTCTGGTGAGTACCGATCTCACAAGGATAGAAATTATTTTCATTCATTAATTTTTAATAAACGAAAATTTCTCCACCCAGATGAGATTCGAACTCACGACCTTTAGGTTTAAAGGGAGGCGCTCTTACCACTGAGCCACAGAGGGGGTACACAACAATTTAAAAGTAAAAATAAAAGTTATAGTTTTTAAAAAATAAAAACAGAATAACACTCGATAGTGAAACATTGCTTTGCTTGGTAATAATACTTCTGATCTAATGGTTTGAAGTGAATTTATTTAATTTTTGTGAATTAGTAACATTGCCCAAAATATTATTAATTGTAATAAAAATTTAAACAAATATGAAAATATTATTTAAAAGTCACAGTTAGATGTAAATCTGTTTTATTATCTTATTTTGGAGCTTTTCAAAAATAATCTAGAAAATAAAATTTTGTGTATTGATTTTAGTAATTTTCAAAATTTGTTAAATACAATATAGACTGTATTCACCATTTACATGTTCACCATTACCTTTTATTTATGTTTAATTACTTCATTTTGATTATCATTATGTTTCATTATAATAGATTTAACAAAACGAACTTCAGTCATTCGCGTAAAAAAAGTAAATAGACGTGATGATACCTATGATTACGTGACGTCACGATTTAGTGAGGTCAATGCAAAGAAATATATAAAATATAATTGTATGTGAAAATAAAATTGTTGTTTTTACTATTCTTCTTACTATTTTATCACATTTTCTTTCCATTTAACCCTTATCCGGAGGACAACACATTTTACTTACGTAACCGGGCCACTCGAGTCCATTAGTCCCACCACTGTTCTTGATTGTACTATTCATATATACCCATATATTTCTAATATTCTTTTTTGATTTTTGATTGAAGTAACATTTAAATTGTCTAGATTAAAAAAAAAGATGCTACTATAGTATGCGGTCTATCTCGAGGATGCGATCTACCTGAAGGATTTGCACAAAATAATGACATGCAAGAAAACTTTTGTAGAAAAAATATTTAGTCAAAAGTAATAAACATTTGAAGCCGAATAAAGACTTAATTAATAAATAAATAAAAACTTTTGTAAACCTACGAGGCCAATATTTGAAAAGAGAGGTTGATCTTTAAGCTTACCCTGGAAAAAGATTACGGTGTTGTTGCCTTTCATTATTGTGTGAGAACCTTTTTGAGAAAATATTATGGTGACTAGCAGCTCATGTATACAGTACCGATAAAAACAATCTTTACAAAATGAATAAAACACATAAGTCAGAAGAACAATATTATTTTACTTTTACAAAGTAATACTTTGTCATATTAATTTACTATTTTAGTTGGGACTAAGCCACATGATTAGCTTATTGCCAACTAGAATTGCAAATTGATATAACAAATTAAATTATTATTAAGTATTAGGTTAAAGATTGTAGACAGTAGCGAAGAGGCTGGACTTACTTTAAATATCAAAAAGACGAAATTCATGACCATCGCAAAGACACAACAACAGGACACGTTATGGATTAGGGACGAACTCGTTCAAAAGGTGAACAGATATACATACTTGGGAACAATCATAACCGAAAACAACGATTACACACAGGAAATCAAATCACGTATAGGAAAAGCCCGATCAACATTCAATACTATGAGAAAAGTACTTTGCAGCAATGATCTGAGTCTGCAACTTAAAGTACGAATGCTTAGATGTTATGTATTTTCTGTGTTATTATATGGAATGGAGGCTTGGACGCTTAAAAAAGATATAAGTAACAGAATAGAAGCGTTTGAGATGTGGGCTTATAGAAGAATTTTAAAAATAAGTTGGATCGATAAGGTTACGAACAACGACGTTTTAAAAAGAATGAACAAGGAAAAGGAGATATTAAATACAATTAAAATAAGAAAATTGCAGTATCTGGGTCATGTCATGAGAGGTGAGAGATATGAGTTGCTGCAGATCATTATACAGGGAAAGATACTGGGCAGAAGAAGCATAGGCCGACGACGTGTATCCTGGCTAAACAATTTGAGGCAGTGGTACAATTGTAACTCTGTTGAGCTGTTTAGAGCAGCAGTGTCAAAGGTGAAGATAGCCGTGATGATAGCCAACCTTCTTAAAGGAGACGGCACTTAAAGAAGAAGAAGATTAGGTTAAAAAAAACCATAGATTAGTAATTTAGTTTTCTTTATTGCAATACTTACAAACTTTTTTAATTATACAGTGATCGTTACACACATTTCTACTGCATATTTCACAAATTTGTTTTTGTTTTCTGTCCTTTTTTGTTGGGCACACGTGACACCTTTTCCTTATTAAAACTGCAGGTTTCTCTAGTTTTTGCTTTTTATAGTGTAGTTCAACTTCCTGTAAGCATGTTTCAATACACTTTTTTGTTTTCCATTGTAGACCCCTTGATTTTCTTCCCAAAATTTAAGGCAACACTAGTTGTTCTGCTGTCGTTGTAACAAACAATCTTCGCTTTTCACTTTTGTTTTCGTTCCATTTAGGATGTACATTTGTCCAAGTAATAAATGAAGCTACTCCAGCTACGTCTTAAATATTCATAAAAAATGTAAAATTCCAACTGTAAATTCATCTTTTGCACATATATTTATGAACCATTTGGTCTAGCGTATCGACACCACATTTTGTACTATTATAATAAAATATATCTAGTTTTTTGTTAACTTCATCTAAACAGTAAGCATTATAATATATAATAGACAGGACTAGGACACTTCGTTGTTTATTCGGAACGTCAGGAAACAAGATATGCTTTTGGAGTAAATCCGAAAATTGAAGATTTCTTTAAGGCTTATCCTCGATAATTGTAACGGTAAAATTCAGAGAGATGTCTATTTCAAAAATATCTTTCTTTACAAAAACAAAATCCATTCACGAAGAATATTCTAAACGTCATCTTGTACTAGAGGTAAGCTTTATACCTACCTTATACAACCCCCTATTGTGTAAAGTCTTGGGTCTATACAATAAACGACTGGGCGGCCTTCTATTCAGTGTGGTTTTGAAATAATGTTGAATAAAAACATTCATGAAATTAAAATGAAAGAATTTACGTCTATTAGTAGAAGTGCGATTTATAAAATTAGTACTTGAAGCATAAATCGCGGGAGGAATATGTGCATCAGTTTTCAAATATTTATTATTTACTATATAATTTCTAAATTGAACCACTTTCACTTCTTTAGTTAACAATGTATCTGTTTTGACAACTAAATAGGTAATTAGACAAAATAATTATTAATTTCAAAACAGGAGTTTAAAGAATTAGAAAGAGGTAGCCCGGGCCCAGTTAAATGGTCAAGCTTATTCCAGTGGAAGCAATAAGGAGGATTATTTTTCGTTTTGGCACAGCTGACATGCTCTCTCTAGTACTACAACCCATGAAACTGTGGTAAAAAGCATGCTTTATTTATACGGTTGTGAAACACGACGATTAACAGAGACAGATTAATATCGAAGAAAGATATCTCGTCGAACTTAATGCAATAAAGTATGAGAATAGAAGGTACAGTCATGGATGGCATACATCGAAAGCAGCTCAAATGGGTACAGGTCCAATAAATGAAAGACAAGAGACTCCTAAAACAAGTACCTGTATGAACACCTACCGTAATCCAGAAGAGAGGATTACCTTAGAAAACACGGATGGAAGGAATAAGAAACTTAATGAGCTCGAAAGAACTTAAAGAACAATGGAACAACCGAATTGAATGAAAAATGAACGTCGGAAGACATTTTATAAGGATTATATCATATTATAGGTACATTTTTTGGACTAAAAATAAATTTGAAGAAAACCAAGTTCATGGTATTTACAAAAGCACAAAGCATCAAAGTTAAGCTAGTACTAGATAATACAGAAATTGAACAAATATCTTTGTACAAATACCTTGGAGCATGGATCACAGAAGATACTGATTAGACAAAAGAAATAAGATGCCGCATTGGAATTGCACGGTCAACTTTTAATAGAACGAGAAAACTTTTTTGTAATCGAGATATCAATATATCGCTCCGGATAAGAATGCTTTGATATTATATTTTCTTTACCCTTTTATATGGGATTCAAGCTTGGTCACGGATCGCAAAACAACCGAACAAGGCACATCATACATCACACATCAAGACGTAAAATCTAGTGGTTACGTAATCTCCGTGAATGGTTTGGATGCAATTCAACTGAACTATTCAGGCGCATATCCAACAAAATGATAATTGCCAGAATGATTTCCAATCTCCGATAAAAGTGGAACTTGAAGAAGAAGAATAAGTACATTATTATTATATCATATTATATATATATATATATATATATATATATATATATTTATATAATATATGATATAAACGATATTGAAAGAGGTTACAACATAGACAATCAACAAAATCTACATCGACAACTACACAGTGAACACCCAACAATAATAGAAGTGTCAAATGCCGTCCTAAAACTCAAAGACAATAAAGCCACAGGAATCGATTAAATATGTTGAAAAAAATATAAAAAAAAGGTGATGATCAGATTTTTGCAGTAACCCATAAACTAATAGTACTTATATGGCAAAATGAATTTGTTCCAGAAGAGTGGCTAAATGAAATAATATACGTTGCATAAAAAGGACGATTAACTGGATTGTAAGAACTATAGAGGCATTACTCTGTTACATCTTCACCTGTTAGCACCCTGCTTGGCAGGGTCACATATCAGATCAATTTACGGTTGCAAAAGGCTT